GATCCGGAACTAAGGTCTTCTTACTTGTTTCTTATCTATGGTGTTGATATTAATACGCACGCGGTTAGATGTGAAGATTTAGGTGGATTATTGCGGATTAAAATTTTAAATACGACTCTATCTGTTCGAAACTTTATTGAAGAGAGCGAAAACGGGAAGTTAGTTTGACAGCAAGCACATAAGTGCAAGGCTCTAAATGTTAAGCTTTAAAGTTTACATAGGTTTACAAAGGTGATAGAAGGCGCGAGCATGCTGGCACCGCCTTGAATGACCGTTCAAAATTACTAATTTCAACTAAAATCTAGTGATATCATATACTTGTGAAAATATAGTCCTTTGTTGGTAGTGGAAAGGATAGTTTGATCACAGGCCTCATTTGCTCTCCCTTTCCGATCGTGTTCAGTTATAACTCGAACTTGACCATCCGTCCCTGGAGTGCGCAATCACACGGCTAAGTCATTTCGGTGAAGGGCGTGTTGCTCTTCATGTCATGAAACGAATCATCTTTTAGCAATTCTGGCGTTGGAGCGTACTCCATCATTTGAACTGGCTTTTGAAGACTGAAAGATATCATTCCCCTACGATTCGAAGTACTGCGCTAATGACACAATGCTTTGCCAACGTTGATATATGGTTCCATTGAAGACTTCAAACACAGGATCTGGAAGTTCCCATTAGCGGTACCAATGCATAGAACGTTTGGCTATAAGAACTTCGGAAGTCGTTTACATTTGTAGGAATACAGCAACAGGAGATGCGAATTGCACACAGGCTTTCAACTTCAGTTAGTACTGTTGCAACTTCGTAGTTGTAGCGAAGGTCTAAGGCGCGCTTAAGATGATATTTGATTCGTTTTATATCAGCCTCCTCAAGCACCTGCTGGAGGCGCTTGGTAGTGGAAATGCAAATGTTTATGCATCTGCGAACACTTTCATCAGCGAATGCAGTTCGTAGTAATCGGAGTCCTTTGCAGCCGACGAAGTTAGTGCCATTGACAGAGTAAATGTGGTGGCAGTACTTCTGTTGTCAATGCGTTTGAAAGCACTGATGAGAGCGATTTAGAAAGGCTCTCCAGCAAGCCTGATATGCATTGCACCTAGTACTACAGCAAATAAATGAGTATATGTATGCCTTTGTAGATTTTCCGCCTTCATGCGAAACTTTACGGAGTGGCGGATCTCAGCGTAATCGACTGCGTATTAGAAAACAGCGGGTTGAAGTGACGGTTTGGAGGCAGCCTAGCCATGAGCTGCTGGAATGGTTGAACTCAGTCGACTGCAAAGAATGGATTGATATATATTATCAGGACGAGGTTACGGAACGCTTACCTAATATCGCCAGTTGAATTATCTGAGATCCACCAGGTAATGTTAAAGGATGTATTTCTACCAAGGACATTATTAGCAAGCGGGTGATTTCTTCGGCACTCTTATAGGATGTTTAACGAAATAATCCGCTTTGAGCGTTGCGTTTTGATGCGGCCTATAGCACGTAAGAAATCCCTTTGAGTCAGAACGGTTGGGCTTCGTGCTAGACTGTTGCGATTATATTATTGCATTGTTTACCTGTCATAATTAGAAACTTTCAAAAGCGATATTCTTATATACTTACCAATGCTATTTCAGCTGTTTTGATTTCGCACAAGATAAATGCCGCGATTGATTCGTTCCGGCTCCTGTAGACCTTGCATTATTGATGAAGGTAATAAGCGGTATGGTTTAGTTTGTTTAATGACGGATACTTACGTCATAACAACCGCTCGTCGGTTTCGATAAGTAGTTTAGTGTTTCTGGATTTAGTTCGAGATCTGTTGCGTGGGGTTTGCAGAGATAGCTAAGGCTTAACATTGCTTGTTTCATGTAGCCATTGGGACATGCCACCAGTTGATGTGAGTGATGCGACGGTATTATGCCTCCTTGAAGCGTAACGCTGGGATTTGGTTCTTGAGGGACGGTCTCCAGTGTGTTGCTGGGAGAACATCTGTTACTTAGCAGACGCGATTGCATACCAATACTGACCCGCTATTAAGGTTGCTCTTGTATCCACGCCAGTAACATTGAGTTCCGGTCCATGCTATAATTTGGGAGAAGGTATAGTTCAGATTTGATTGGACTTGTTTATTCAGCCTTGCTCCAAAATGGCGATGTACAAAGCTTCCGACGTGGTAATGAGATAGTTTCGAGAGCGCTACTTTTTCGCACTTAGTACCCACTAATCGTGCCGTCCGGAGACGTGCGTGCGACAGTAGACCAGGCCAGTACTCGCGGATGATGCGCACTTGCCGACTGGTGGTAATGTCCGTGAAACCTGAGAATAACAAGTCTTACTTAATCCCCAACCAGCGGTTTAGTTTTAGCGCTTGATAGCTTGCGGTGGCACCACGACGATGCGTGACCAGTCCCGCTACTTGGAAAGAACTGTTCCATCCCGGCTTGTTTGATCAGCCAGGTTGCCTTTGTAGGGACCTAATTAGAACGAATCGCTAAGGTGCATTAAACTCCAGTGATCCAATATATCTTGCCTGAATCGGAAAGAAATGTTGCTTTGGTAAGTTTCGTAGCAAGTTTCAACTCACTGCTATAGGAAAGCCAATCCATGGTTTGTGAATGCCATTGTACCAAGAGTGCGGATATGGTCTCCACATCGCTAAGGAGATGCGAAATTGATACGATGCTTTGCGGATCAGATCTCTAAGGCTTTGAGAATTGCTTCACTTGCGTAGTCTCGGAATCCACCTTTCAAAGAGTGTGGGAAATGTTTTGAAGTAAAGCGAGTTCATTAAAGGTATCAGCACCAGTTAGTAAGTCATCCATATATAAGTCTGACTTTATCACTTCTATAACTTTTTTGCTTGCGTTTGACGCGTTAAGTGCTGCTCGATGCAGTGACCTTACGGCAAGATACGATGCTGAAGCAACTCCATACGTGACCCTTAAAAGGCGATAATCTGGATCTTCTGGATGCGAACGCCAGACTATGCGTTGATAATCGGTGTCTTCTTTGGCGACATAAACCTGGCGGTACATCTTTTCGATGTCGGCTATGATTCCAAAACGATGAGTGCGAAAACGAACCAAAATAGAAAATAGATCTTGCTGTAGTTGTGGGCCTATCATGAGAGCGTCATTTAACGAATTCCCAGATGTTGACTTCATAGATGCGTTGAAGACTACTCGAAGTTTCGTGGTTTGACTAGTGGTCTTTTCCAACGCATCATGGGGCATGTAGTACACTTTATCTATTGTCATCTCTGCTGGTTCCATGTGTCCCATAGAGATGAGTTCCTCCATAAACATGGTATACTCTTTGTAAAGTCGTTCGTTAGCCGCAAATACTTTTTCCATGCGCAGTAATGCTCGAACAGCTGCTCCTCTTGATTCACCTATCAAGACGTTTTTCTTCAATGATAAGCGCACGGTGTAGCGCCCATCCGATGCACGTTCGGTTGTATCGTTGTATAGTTTCTCACACATAGATTCTTCAGGTGAGAGGAATTTGCGGGCAGGTAACTCTTCGAATTCCCAAAACTTGTGGATGAGTTCAGTTAAATTAATGTCGGAATATAATGTTGAAATGTTCATCGGTGGACTTTGCAAATTGGCAGCGTTTTCAAACAGTACCCATCCGAATGTAGTGTTTTGTGCCATTGGTGTACCCCGTTCATTCCTTCCGGAGTCTGTGTAGCAGAAATTTGTCCATTTCATCCATTCCTATTGGCCCGGGCTTGGAATAATGCCATTCGGCTAGTGGCAAATCCGCACAATGTGGCCATGGAGATGTCGGTACAGCGGAGGTTGGAAGATCGTTAGTAATTTTCGGTAAGATGAGCGTTCTTACTTGAAATTTAGCATCAAGCGATCGAGGTGATATGCGAAGTGTTACTTCAGTGTTGTACCATAATTTCAGCGGTTGCTAGTAGAATGACGCGATCAGTGTCGGCGTAGTGTGCGGTTACATTAAAGCGTTGTACATTTGAAGGAGCATCGGACCTTGCGGGTTGATCGGTAAAGCTTGTGTGAAATAAAGTATGGTGACGTCGTTCGCATATGCGACACGAAGACGTGCTATGGCAACTGGTGAGGATATGCTTCCTGCTTAGGCAATTTATACACGTGCCTAATTTTTTAATAGCGGTTAGTTTACCCTTGGAGTCGAGTTGGCTGAACTTTGATCAAACGTAGATTTTATGCTCACCGTTTCGATAAGCACAATTCGGTCCCTTAGTAGCGGTTGGTGTAGCGGTATGTACTTCTGGTTGTGCAAATGCTTCTTCAACATTCTTTGTTGCTGTCGTTGTCTTTGCGTGGTTTTCAAGAAATTCTTGAAGAGCAGAGAACGATGGTAGTTTGTCCATGACAAGCGATAACTCCCATTGCTTACGGGTATCTTGTGCTAACTTTGAAACGGTAAGGTGAATGAGCCAGTCATCCCAGAACTCGACTGGTCGTTCGAGCGCATGTAGGGCACCAACGTGTTGAAGTATGGAATTTAGAACTTGCTTTATTCCCTTAGCAGTGTCCTTAACTGCGCTCCCAATCGACATGAGTGCTTTGATGTGGCTGTCCACCATGATCCGTTGACCTTATACCTCGCGGTCAATAAGTCCTACGCTTCAGCGTAGTTGTTATGACATACCGCTAAGCTACTCACCAAATCCAATGCTTCTCCATTTAAACAGTAACTCCAACAATTGGAGGTAAGTCTTGATAACTTAGAAAACCCTCACTGAAGCCTTTATTTGTTATAGTTCTATAAAAAACGGTGAATATTTCGCTGCGGAAGATTTTCTAAACATTTACCTGCGGCTAACGATATGAGATCATCCACATATTCGATTACTTTTTGATCGTTTTCTTGCTGATTTATCACAACTAGCTTACAGTATTGTTCTGTTTATTTCCCATATTTGTCATAACGCTTTCTCCACTGTGATAATCGGTCGTTTAATTCTAGATCTTCAGTAGTAAGTCCTCTGTTTCCTTTTCGTTTTAATTTTAAAATATGTAAATACAATAAATCCCTTAGAGAGGGTTTACGTCTGATTTTCAAACATGTACTATTACGCATGTCCTTTGTTTCTTTGACCACCTGGTCAAATAGGAGAATTTTAATTATATTCGTTACGGAATTATATATACAGTCAAAACTGAGTAAGAGAGAACTGGGTAAGCGAGAAAGCTCTATAAGTGAGAATAATTCTCAGGTCCCGCACATTGACCTCTCAAAACCTCTATGAGTGAGAAACAATACTCATAAGTGACAGTCGTTTTTCCCACTCTGACCTCTATAACTAAGAGCTCTTTGTATTTACCTTATATAAACGACAATTCTCCTATGTTGATTCATTCTATGTTATTTCTAGAAATTCATAGAATAATTTTTAACTGTATTAGCTTATTTGTCAGTAACTATAGTTTAATATAATAAAGTTGACTGATTTTAAATATAATTTGCCTGTTACTTGCTTCTTGGTATTAAGGCATTTTAGTAATCACTCTATTTTTCAATTATTATTTATCATGTTTACAACTAAATATTTTGAATATCATTGATAAACCTCTGTAAGTGAGACAAACCGCTTCTGTACATGAGCTAGAAACTGCATTAGTGAGAAACCTCTATAGGCGGGAAAAATCAGTGCCTCTCTTAGCCAGGTTTGACTGCATATTATACAGTTTTAAATACACCGTTTTATAGACGAAACAATGGCTCAACTTCACCTATCTACACAGTGCACTGTGGTCGTTTTATAGGCCAAAATCAAAAAATAATTCGAAATTCCACTCTATTCAAAATTATTTCTAAACAAACAAACGGTAAATTCATTTTGGTCTATACCGGTTGTACGTTCTACGAATAAAGAGAGAAAAAATACCATAAAGTGGTCTGTGTAGTGGTTTTTATGTAATAATATGTTTACCCATTGTTATATCTCGCAACTGTTGCTACGAGTATAATAGTTTTGTTCACTAATCGGTTGTTTGTATCACTAAAACTAATCGAGTTAGATATAGGTTATATATATAAATGATCAGGATGAAGAGACAGTTGAAATCCGGGTGACTGTCTGTCCATCCGTCCGTCCGACCGTAAGACCGTTGGTATTGGAGATGGGTCATAAATTGCCATAATAAGCTCCACTACAAGACACAAAACTCTATTTGGTATCATATTACATTTGGGCATCTGCAGTTACATTTTTAAGGGGCGTGGTCCGCCCTAATAAGTTGAATGTGCATATCTCCTATAACCTTGAGCTATAATAACAAAATACTGGAGCAAATGTTTTTAGCACTCTATCGACGGTGTGAAAATTAGTGAAATCGAGTGACACTCCACTCACTCCATTGACGGTATGTTAAAAACTACTTAAGGAGATAAATCAAGCTACACAAGACATTAAATTTAATCTCTGGATGGTATACGATGATTTTATAGGAACCACGTTTTAAATTAGATAGTAGCGTGGCACGCCTACTTTTAGGTGAAACATATCTTGGGATCTGCTTAACGATTTCAACCAAATTAGGTAAATAATATTCTTCTATACTTTATGTATAGTAAAAATGGGCGAAATCGGATTACAAGACGCCATATTTCAATATAACATCATTTTAATTCCATCTGATTTTTACTTTCCAGTATGCAAATCAAGCAACATGATTATATCTGGCGTAAAATTTGCGTGAATATACGTTTAAAGTGGTGGCATTCTTGTGACCAAAATTATCTTAACTGAACCAAAATGTTCAAGCCCCTAGGTACTGAATATGTGGACCCAGTGCCTATAGTTGACTTTTTACGAAAATATCGGTCAACATAGAACACGAGTAATAAAACGAGTTTACATTTGACTTTGCGAGGTATAATGTTTGTTACATCCAACTTAGCTAGATATTTCGAGTGATGTATTATGTGCTGATTTGAGTTAGACAAAATTATGAGCTGTCTTGCTCAAATGAATTTTTTTGTTTAATTTGATAATTTTTTAGGCTATATTTTTAAATTCAGCTGCACTTTTGCCCTCTCTGTGTTATTCTTGTCTTTGTACCAAGTGTTTTGTGTTGCCTTGCTTATACAAGCTGCGTTCCAAAATAAACAGTAAAAAAATAACAAAGTAAACTCTAGTGGCGCCATCTATATGTCGACTAGTGCGTTAGAATCTATCCTTTATCGACTTCCAGTAAAAATTTCATGACATTTCATCTATTGGAAGTGAAGTTATTGCGTTGTAAGTCACCCGAAGTTCAAAAATCCCTATTTAAGGTATACGGGGGCTAAGGGAAATATTCATCTGATTCAATGACAATGAGATTGACCGATATTTTCGGTAAAAAGTCAACTATAGGTACTGGGGTCTACAATTTCGAAATCTGGGTGCTTGAACAGTTATGGTCTGATTTTGACAAATTTTATACTTAAGATGGTATACCTTAAAGGCACTATTTGTGCAAAGTCTTGCGCCGATATATTCTTTGGTGCTTGATTTGCATACTGGAAAGTGCAAGAATCACATGGAATTTAAAATTGTGCTATATGGGAAGTAGGCGTTTTTGTAGTCCGCACTGTAACATAAGGCCGTCAGATAATGTTATGTACCGAATTTGGTTTAAGTGGGTCAAGTAGTTCCGGAGATATGTGATTTCACTGTACTCCATATTTGACATCGACTCCTATAAAGCCCTTTTGTACCATCCCGAGTGTAAAATTTAATATCTCTGTCGCATATAGTTATTGATTTATCGCCCTTCTAGTAGTTTTTAACTAAACCGTTATATGGGAAGTGGGAGGGGTTATCATCCGATATCACCTATTTTTACACTGTCACCTATTTTATCACTGTCACCTATTTTATCACTGTACTGTAAATGGGTTTTAAGATATATACATTAAATTTAATAGGGAGCGGACCACGCCCACTTTCTAAAGATTTTCAAACCGCAGGTGCGCTCCTTAATGCTATTCGTTGTATTAAATTTAAGTTCAGTATCTTAACGTACGGTTTAGTTACGGCGTTTTCGATTAATAGGGCTTTGTGGGCGTGGCAGTAGTACGATTCCGCCCATATAACATACAAAACCAAACTTACGATGCCAAGTAATACGCGTATGTGTACCAATCATTTCATTAAGATATCCACATTTTTACTCAAGTTATAGCTTGCACGGACGGATAGGCAGACATTCACCCGGATTTCAACTCGTCTCATCATCTTGATCATTTATATAGACATAGCTTTACGTGATACAAACAACTGTTAGGTGAACAAAACAATTATACTCTGTAGCAACATGTTGCAAGAGTATAAAAATGTTGCGTAAGAATTCAACATTTATTATAAACTTATGTTTATGATAAGTCGTATACTCACTTAGTTTCA